AGCGAGTTCGGAGATTGCTGTGCACTTGTGGATGATTGTTCTCGTGTTTGATATGTTTCCACGGGGTCACTATTTAACTTTTTTTTTTTTTCCGCTTTGTTATTAATTTTGCTTTCTTATTATTGTATATGCTTGCTGTTATCTCTCTTTCTCTCATTCTCTCTCTAACTCCCTGCTCTCTCTTTCTCTCTCTTCTCTCTCTCTCATCTCTCTCTCTCTCTCTCTCTTCTCTTCTCTCTCTCTCTCTCTCTCTCTCTCATCTCTCTCTCTCTCTGTCTATCTGTCTCTCTCCTTTCTCCCTCCTTCTCTCTCTCTCTCTCTGTCTCTCTCTCTGTCTGTCTCCTCCCTCCTCTCCCCCCCTCCTCTGCCTTCCCCCGCTCCCTCTCTGCCTCCTCCCTCCCTCCCTCTCTTCTCCCTCCCTCTCTGCTTCCTCCTCCCTCTCTCTTCCTCCTCCCTCTCTCTCCCCCCCCTCTTCTTCCCTCCCCCTCTCCCCTCTCTTCCTCCCCCCCCTCTCTCCTCCTTCCTCTCCCTCCTCCCTCCCTCCCCTCTCTCCTCTCTCCCTCTTCCTCCCCTCTCCTCTCTCCCTCTTCCTCTCTCTCTCCTCTCCTTCTCCTTCTCTCATCTCTCTCTCCCCTCTCCTCCCCTCTTCTCGTCTCTCTCTCTCTCTCTCTCTCTCTCTCTCTCTTCTCTCTCTCTCTCTCTTCTCTCTCTCTCTCTCTCCTCTCTCTCTCTCTCTCTCTCTCTCTCTCTCTTCTCGATGCTTAATAATCAATGCTTAATAAAGCGCGGAAGTCCAGTTACTCTCCATCATTGTCTTCGGCGAATGACCCTGGATGACCCCGTTGGAAAAGGTCAAGAGATGGACGAGAAGCACGCTGTAGAAGGAAGGGACGACAGGAGTACAGTTAGGCAAGGAGGAGGAATTCCCGACCTGTTTGGGAGCAAGGAAGGAACCTCGTATATTTCTGTTTTTTTTTTTCCAAAGCTTCATCTCATTTTTACATTGTTCTGTCATCATCGTGATTGTGAGTGACCGTCGTTGTTATCATTATCATTATTATTATCGTTATTCTTGTTCTTATCATTGTTATTGTCATCATCATTATTATTGTCATTATCTTATTGTCATTATCATTTTATTGTCATTACATTTATTATTATCGTTATTATTATCGTTATTCTTATTCTATATTCTTATCACTATTGTCATTAATCATCATCATTATCATTATAATCATCAAATATAACAATCATCATTGTCTTTGTTATCATTGTTACTATCGTTAATATTATTACTATTACTCATTTTTTTTATTTATTACTTTTTTATTTTACTTTTATAATTTTCATTATTAATTATTGTTGTCATTATCATTACTAAACAGTAATAGTATTGTTTCCATTCATTATCATTACTATTACTGTTGCGATAATTCTGCGTGTTAGTAAAATCATCGTATCAATTAATTGATTAGTAATGATGATAATTGATAATGATCCATAATTGATAATTATGATAATGATTAATAATTGATAATAATGATTAACTGATAATAATGATAATAAAGATAAACATCAATAATGATAGCGAGATAATAATGATAACAATAATAATAATGGTTCGCCTGTTATTGTCATTATTCATAATTATTGTTATTTTCATTATTATTATCACTATTATTATTATCATAATTATTATTATCATTATTACTGTTATTATTTTTGCCATTATAACTATTATCGCTACTATTCGCATTGTTATTATTATCATTGCTGTTGTTAATTATTATTCATTATTATTATCATTATTCACCATTATAATAATTAATTATTATTATCAAAAAGTTAGTGTAGTAGTAGTAATATTATTATTATAATCATCACCATCACCATTATTATCATCATTATCATCAGTTATTATTATTATTGTCACTGTAATTATCATTAATATTATTATCATAATTATCAATATGATTATCAATATCATTATTATTATCATCGTTATTGCTACTACTTCTACTAATATTATTATCATCATTATCATTCATACTTATTATTATTTATTCATTGTTATTATTATTATTATTATCATTATTATTATCATATATTATTGTTATTATTATATTATTATCCACTTATTATTATTATTATTATTATTGTCTATAATTATCATATTACTTCACTCATCAGTATTCATTTACTATTATTGTTACCATTATCATTGTTTATTCCATTCTTCAGGCAATATCTTCATTATCATCATTATCCTTATTATCATTATTAATTGTCATTAAATTCTATCTTCTATTCCTCATCATTATTCTTATTATCATTCACCAATATATTATTAATTACTATCATCATTACTATTATTACATTAGCAATTATTTTTTTATCGTTGTTACTATCATTATTGTTTATGTGATTTAATATTATCATTATTGATCATCCTTAACATTACCATATCTTTATCATCATTATCCACTTGATAATGATAATAATGATAATAATGATAAGGATAATAATAATGATAACTGTATTAATAATGATAATAATTATAATAGTGATGGTCATTATTATCATCACTAGTATTATCATTATTAATGATATCATTATTACAATTATCATCATCATTATCGCTGTCACTACTATCATTATTATTATCTTTGACATCAGTACTATTGGCATCATCTTTATCATGATCATTATTTCCATCATCATTATAATTTTTTATTGTCATTATCATCAAAATTATTGTTATTATATTTTTTATTAGCATTACCATTATTATACCAATATCATTATATTTTTTTCTTATCATTATTATTATCAATATCCTTATCCTTAATATTATCCTTATCATTATTACCATTACTATCAGTATTATTATCAGTATCGTCATTATCATCCCAATTGTTATCATTTTTGCTGTTATTCTTCCCATCTTAACCACGACCGTAATGGCTGGCAATGTTATGCAGATAGGGGTGAAAATACCCTTAGAACACATAAATAAAGTTCTTTAGAGACAACTGTACCACTGTTGTCACCGCCACCATAATTGCCCCCTAACTTTCAACGCTTTATCTGTGACCACAACAACGAAATTCCCCCTAGTGACATGGTACCCTAGTCATGACCCGCTGGTGAACACGACCCTTGGCCCTGACCTGTGACCTGAATCCACGGAGAGAGCGACCCGTAATGTAGGTGAATGGCTCGTATGTTATAGCGTGGGGGAATAACTTGGGGAAATCCCTATGGAGACGAGACTGGAGTTATGAGTTCGTGGTGGTTGAGAGGAGAGTCTGAATTGTTGTTCTGAGATGAATGTTACGTAGATGCCTCCCCCCCTCGCCCCCTCGCCCCCTCGCCCCCCTCGCCCCCTCGGTCGCCCCCAGCCCCACCTGACAGCTTCTTCTCTCGTGGGTGTGCCTTGACGCAGGCTGTATTCATATGGAATATTCATATTCTGTTGTGAGATGCATGTCCAAGGAGTCATATGGTTCCAAGACTAATTAAGGATTACTCGGGGTTTCTGTGTTGTAAAAATGCGATTCATATACAGCCTCCACAGCGGTGTTTAAAAAGGGAGTGTCATAAAAAAAAAAAAAAATCGAAAAGTTCCACTCGATAGCATGGCCATTGTGCGTGCTATCTGATCTCAGTGGTTATAGCACTATACTCCGACCCGCGTGGAGACTGCTGACTCGAGCCCGATCTCCCAGCAAGAATACGACAGGTCGCCTTGAAAGGTCAAACGCCGATGTAGAGGAAGTCAGCGCTTCGGCCCACGACACCGCGGGTTGAATTCCGGTCCAGTTTCCATAAAGGCGGTTCATTAGTAAAGCGTCCAATCAGCAAGGATGGTATGCCAAATATCCTCTCAATGATGAATAAAGAGAGGTCTGAGTCCTACAGTGGAAGTAGTACAGAATGTAGCTCTTGAACAAACAAAAAAATATGTGTATGTATATATGTACAAACACATACACACGCATATATAAATACACATGTTATCAGTCTATCTATACATGTCTTCCTATATCTATGGAAAAAGATAGATGGATGGATAGATAAATAGATAGATATAGATAGACAGGTATGTACACACCACACACACACACACAACCACACACACACACACACACACACACACACACACAACACACACACACACACACACACACACCGCGCACATACCAAAACACACGGTACATACATGCACGCCCACCTCTTACGGAAATGCACACGGAAGACCAGTATGAGAAAGAAGCTTCAACCAAGAAGATACCTCCCCCTTCCCCCCACCCCATGTCAAGCGCCTGCGTGCTTTCTCTCGTCCCTCCGGCGGCTGCGGGAGGGACGTGAGCACCATGCAGAAGGCGCCGACGGAGGGAGAGGTCGGGCGGGCGAGAGCAACAAGGGAAGGGAGAAAGAGTCACAAGAAGATGAGGAGGGTGAATGATGAGAAAAGGGAGATTGTTGAGAGAGAATGGAGTAGAAAATGAGGAACAATTCTAAAGTATAGATATCTATCAAATTTATCTATACATGTCTATATCTATGAAAAGAGACATATGGATGGATAGATGAATAGATAGATATAAATTGACACACATGTATACACACACACACACACACACACACACAAATGTTCATAGGTAGACAGCCATGTGTTTATGTGTGTACGTGTTTATGTCTATACGAATAAGTTTTCATCTGAGTGAAGCTGTGTGCCATTTTATGTACATTTGTCTACTTACAGTTGAAGTGTAAAAGTAGTACAGGATGGTTTATTTTTTTTTTTCTTATTATGCAGTCATATTTACGTTTTCTATTTCTCACTACAACGCATACCACGGAAAGATTAGAGGTAGGTGGAGGGGGGTTAAGAAGAGAGGAAGATAATAGTTATTGTCAGTTACTGCTTCTTGAATTCTCTGCTTACTGAAGCGCATTTTGTCAAAAAGGTATGTCCAAATGAAACACATTTCTAGTGGATTTTGTAAATTTCTTTGTCAATAAATTATAACGGTATCTAGCACCGACATGTCTTGCTGTAGAAGAAGCAAAGGTACATGATCTCAAAGATGCCGACATAAATAAATAAAGATACTGATGCCAGTGGCCTAGTGTCGTCCAGAAAAAATGTTTCTAGCGACCAAGGCTTGAGTAAGCAAAGCAGGCTTACACACTTGATGCCCAAGACACACGTCGAAGCAGCACTTGTCAGCAGGCGACAGGCACTGGCCGTCGTGGGCGCAGGCGTTGGGCTGACTGCCTCCGAGGTGGGTCGGTGGACAGCTGGCTCGCACAGCGGGACAGGAGCCGGATCTGACGACTGGGTAATTTCCTGAAGGAGAAGGAGGAAACGAATTAGGGGCGTGGCCTGTTAGAAGAGGTCCGACCATTAAGGTTTGACCAAATCTCTTCTCTGAGACACTGTCATGCGAGTAACAATTTGGGACTGGAGTGATAATGATGCTGGTGATAACGAAGATGGCGATGATGACGGTAATAAGATGATAATCGTGATAATAAAGATAATGAGATCATGCATAAGATAAAGCAAGTTGCGTAACCAGCTTGAGTGGCCGTAAAAATATCACACAATGGAACGTAAAGGTAGGACACATATTTCTACAGAAGGAAGCCACCCGTTTTATAAACTTGTTTTTGGGTAACTGCAATCTTTGGCTTGTTTGTTGAATTTGCGCGAAGCTCAACCCAATGAATATTCATATATATGGACTAATAGATGTACATTTATCTATCTTTCCAATAATAAATGATCTTTATGTCTAGACAGAAAGATAAGCATTTATTATTGCGTTCAGTAGTTGCATGTCCATATGTATGAATATTCATTGTGTAGAACCTCGCGTAGATTTAACAAACCCACCCGCTAATCTTGTAAACAAATGATTTACATTCTTAAAACGTATATGCTCAAATAAGCTATCCCCGATGGGTCAGGCTTCAACCGCTCGTAAATTGAATGTCTGCGACCATTGCACATACCTTGACCCTGAGAGACGTCTCGGCCGCAGCAGTACCTCTTGTTGTTCGGTCCCCGGCACCACACCTTGCACACTCCTTGGCCTCCCTGACTGGGGTAGTGGCCTCCCTGACTGGGGTAGTGGCCTCCTGGAGGATGACCTCCGGGGTAATGGCCTCCTGGATAGTGACCTCCGGGGTAATGTCCATCTGGATAGTGACCTCCGGGGTAATGACCTCCTGGAGGATGACCTCCTGGATAGTGACCTCCGGGGTAATGACCTCCTGGACCTCCTGGACCTCCGACCTCCCCCTCCTCCTGGATAGTGACCTCCGGGGTAATGACCTCCTGGATAGTGACCTCCAGGGTAATGGCCTCCTGGATAGTGACCATGGCCTGGATGATGGCCATGGCTGCCATGACCCGTGCTAATTCCTATATGGCCTTCTACAATGCCCCCGTTGATGAGGCTGTCCACGAGACCTCGCGTCGTCGGAGCGCTGCTGTTCATGGAAACACACGCAAGACATCATCATACAGCGAATGCACACGTAATCAAATCAGTCTGTCAAATTGTCACTTTTAATCCCATCTTTAAACTTCAAATTCCCATCACAGTCCGTCCGCGCGAGAACATACCTGAACAGGACATCCTCCAGTTCCTCGCTGTCGTCTGCTACTGCGACCGCCGCGACCACTACGAGAAACGCCGCCACACGCATGCTAAGAGATACGATCTTCGTTAGACACGTCGCGTGAGCTCTGACGTGCTACTTGCGTTAATGGCAACATTTTTGCATCGCCATCATAGTTTTCCTTCTAACATTTATCGAGCATTGCATAATGTTTAGAGAGAACATGTTTAAATTTTTAATTACTGCCACTTTTCAACTATATTTTAAATTCTTTATGCATTATATATCCACTTTCATAATAAATACAATTATGATTAATAAGTAACGTCTGTTGGAATGACGCCGACAATCTGAAAAATAAAATATCAGGATAATGTAGGACGATCCTGAGTGCAGAAACCTCCCATTACCTGCTGTTTGCCGTCTTTCCTTCTGCAAGGGCGGACAACGTACTTGCTGCTATATATACTGATCAAGAGAGAGAGAGAGAAAAAAAAACCTGCTAGGGTCTTAAGATGCCAGTTTGCTTTTTCAATGCCGGTTCCTTGACTGACCCGAAAATGCTGTCTACTTAGGTTTCAGGTGCTGACCCTTATCCTGGGTGGCATCTTCATTCCTTCTATTTTCGTCTATTCACTTTTGTAATATCCTTGGTTTACTTTGAACGCAAGGAATGTGTATTGTGAACAATTAAACACTGAATATCATAGAGTACTGTATCTAATAAATTCTAGAAAATATATATCATCATATGATATCACTCAACCACTGTAACCACCAGTCCGCCGTTTCATCAATAACCAGCAGTACCCGTCTATCAATAGAACACAACCATAAGCAATACATAAATTTACAGATTATCTCTCCGACGTCAAGCTCATATCGGCCGCGATCTCCACTGCCTTCAGACTGCTATTCCCAGCGTCCCTTCCGCATTGTAGTGCATAGGACAAAAAGAAGAAGAAGAAGAAATAAAAAAAACGCTTTTCTAAAATCTGGAAACGTTACTACGATTCTCTCTGGGATACCCTCCTTACTGTTCCCACGCGTGTGTGAGCATATATACAAACTCACACATGTTTTTCTTTCTTTCTTTTTTATTTATTGATTCATTTTAAAGCAGAGACGAAATTAAAACACGATCAGAATATTAAGAGAAACTATAACTCGTTCGTTTATGCGTCCCGTTTTTTTTTTCTTTCTTTCTTTCTTTCCTTTTCTTTTTCGGTGATTTCTGGTTCTAGCCAGCTCCTACTCCGGTTCACTGTATGATGATTCCGGTTTCGATTTTAGTGCTCTTACTTGTGCTATCAATTTTTCGGTGGAATGGAAAATACAGGAAACAACAACCTTTGATAAATTACTCCTATAGCTTTTCAATTCATCGTTAGCCAATCTACATTTTTAATAATCTATTTTCCCTTTTTTTTTAAGTAATTTTCAACTTACTGGAATAAATAGTCCTAATGTCTCGTAAACTTACATACTTTGGATAAAGAATTTATATTTGAAACAGCTTTTTTGTCACGTACTTTCATCCACGAGAACGAAACTTTCCAAAACTCGACGCTCGCAAAGGGTAATTCGAGTTGTTCCTTGTCCCTTACAAACCGCTGCTCGACGATGCATATGCTACCCGATTGGGAAAACTGGTTTTGATTTTTTTTTTTTTTTTTTTTTTTTTTTTTTTACCAAGCAATTTGCGAGAAAGCTCTTGTTAGGTACAGTTTTATTAAAGTGCTCTTGGTACTCTCTTGGTACAGCGTATTTCCGGAATTTTACATCTGATCAACTGAAAATTTTCTTAGGTAGACGCTAGGAATCGAGTAGGTTTTATTCCCCCACTCAGTAAAGGATAATCAACTTGCGGAAACACCTGATTAGTTCGTAAATCCCCAAATTCATGTGAAAGATGAATGAGAGAGATAGAAGCCATGTGGACTGAGAAAGTCTCTAATTTTGACTTGAGCTTTAACCATTTGCATATATTTGACCTTTGTTTTACTCAGTACGGCTTTCCCAACATAACTTGGCCTTGATTTCTTTCCCATAACCTGTTTGGGATCTTGTTTTGTACGGTTCATCTACTATATATATATATACTCTCGTGCATATTCAATTCCAGCTTCTACTTTCCTTTGGCCATTAAAATGAGAAGTTGCTGTTTCTCTTATTATTGTGCTTGTCTTTTATTCCACACGGCTCTTTCATGCTGTGTGAAATAATAACTACATATAGTGGGGAGAGTGGAAGGGGGGGGAGGGAGGTGAAGGAGAGTGGAAGGGAGGGAGAGTGGAAGGTGGAGGGAGAGTGGAAGGGAGGGGGAGAGTGGAAGGGAGGGTGGGAAGGGAGGTGGGAGGGAAGGGGAGGGAGTGGAAAGGGAGGTGTGGGGAAGGGGGAGGAGGAAGGGGAGGGAGAGTGGAAAGGAGGGTAGGAAGGGAGGGTGGGAGGGAAGGGAGGAGAGAGTGGAAGGGAGGTTTGCAAGTGCGTGTAGGAGGGAAGGGGAGGATGTGGGGCGGTGCTGAATGTGTAGAAGAGTGTATATATATGTGTGATGTGTGTATGTGTGTGTGTGTTGTGTGTGTGTGTGTGTGTGTGTGTGTGTGTGTGTGTGTGTGTGCAAAATGCGCATGTATTCTGCAAGGAATAAAGATCACCACGACATCTCGCACCACACTTGCTTCTCGTAGTCACAGGCTGGAGACATTCGGGAAGGTGAAACATATTTAATATACGTGTATTGTTGTCCAGCCCATTTATCCCAAAATTCGATCTGAACGATTAAACACCGCTTTACTGTTACTTAGATTTTGATCAACTATTCAATCGTGTCATGATGCTGAGCCGAAAATTAAGGTTTGGATAACAGAAGGCTGATGAAAAAGGAGATAAACATTAAATGGAAAGCGAATTTTTAATGTAGAGAAAATTTGTGGCTGTTTAAATGTTACTTAAAATCGTAATGGAGAATCTATCTTTTTCTTTGTTTCTTTAAAAGAGATCTGTACTTTCATAGAGAAACAGAAATATAGAGATATGTAGATCAATGATCGATCGATAGATATAGAAAAATGGATACAGAGAGAGTGAAGAGGAGAGGAGAGAAAGAGAGAGTGAGAGAGAAAGAGAGAGAGCGAAAGAGAGAAAAAAACAAGAAGTAGATGTAAGTAGATAAATGAGCAAATAAAAAAGTGAATATAAACAAACGCGAACACGCACACGCACAAACACACACACACACGGGCGGCCGGGGAGCGGCCTGCCTCGCCACGTCCCCACACAGAAGCACACATATACATACATACATATATATATATATATAATATTATATATATATATATTATATATATATATATACGGCATCACACACACACACACACACACACACACACATCACACATATATATATATATAATATAATATATATATATATATATTTATATATATATACCATACATATATGTATATGTATATATATCTATATATATATATATATATATATATATATTATATATATATACTATAATATATATATATGTATATATATATATATTATATATAATATATATATATATATTTATATATATATACTAATACTATTATATATATATATTATATATATATATATATATACACGGGGCAAACACTCACACACACACACACACACACACACACACACACACACACACAACACACACACACACACACACACACACACACACAACACAAACACACACACACACACACACACACACACACACACACACACACACACACACACACACACACACACACACACACACACACACACACACCACACACAACACACACACACACACACACACACACACACACACACACACACCACACACACACACACACACACACACACACACACACACACACACACACACACACACACACACACACACACACACACACACACACACACACACACACACACACACACACACACACACACACACACACACACACACACACACACACACCACACACACACACACACACACACACACACAACACACACACACACACACACACACACACACACAAACACACACACAGATAAGCAGTGAGTTATTCAGAAAATCGTAAATTTAAATTACAATTACTTGATAGTTTTTCATTTACTGTCGTGTTTGTAGATAATTAATGTTTATTCATATTCTACATCTTGCAGCCAGACAATTTTTTTATGTGACTCGAGAAGAAATGAATTTTTTTTTTAATGCAATTTCATTTTTGCCTAGGTATGTTTTTTTTTTTTAGGTATGGTACGAGAGAATAGGCTAGAACGGTCACAATAAAATTCAATTAATAAATAAAAAAATAACAAACCTCAAAATCAATAAAAAAAAATAAACAAACCTCAAAATAATAAAAAATTAAACAAAACCTCAAATAATAAAATAAACAAAACCTCAAAATGAATAAAAAAAATAAACAAATTAACATACACAGATATCCACACAAATAATATACATTCACTAGGTGTCTGTGTAAGCGTTTAAGTTTATCTATCCATATATTTTTTTCATCGAATTAACTAATTATTTTAGCACATTTCTTGTTCTTTCTCTTGTACCTTATCTAATTATCTTAACAAATCCCTTTGTCTCTCTTATACCTTATCTAATTATCTTAGCAAATTCCTTTGTCTTTCTTTTTATACTTTATCTAATTATCTTAGCAAATTCTCTTTTCTTTCTCTAATTATCTAATTATCTTAGTAGATTCCTTTGTCTTTCTCTTAGGCATCTAATTATATTAGCAAATTCCCTTTTCTTTATCTACTTATTTTAGCAAATTCCTTTTTCTTTTTAAAACCTTATCTAATTATCTTAGCAAATTCCCTTTGTCTTTCTCTTATACCTTACCTAATGAGCAAATTCCCTTTTCTTTCACTTATTATCTAATTATTTTAGCAAATTCCCTGTTGTTCTTTACTCTACCTCATACATCTTACCTACCGAATGCAAGCAAACATTCCCTTTTCTTTCCAACCTTTATCGTTATCTAATCTCATATTTTTAGCACTAATTCACCTTTCTTTCTCTGTATACCTTACCTAATTAGCAAATTCCTTGTCTTTCTCTTATTACCTTATCCTAATTATCTTAGTCAACCATTCCTTTTTCTTTCTCTTATTATCAAATGATCTTAACAAATTCCCTTTTCTTTATCTAATCATTTTAGCAAATTCCTTTTTCTTTCTTTATCACCCTTATCTAAGTTATCTTTCAGCCCCATTCCTTTTTTCTTTCTGTATACCTTATCTAAATTATCTTAGCCATTCCTTTTCTTTCTGTTATACCTATCTTTTTTTAATTATACTTTAGCCCTCTCGCTTTCTTTCTGTATTACCTTATCTAATTATCTTAGCCCATTCCTTTTTCTTTCTGTTATACCTTATCTAATTATCTTAGCCCATTCCTTTTTCTTTCTGTTATACCTTATCTAATTATCTTAGCCCATTCCTTTTTCTTTCTCTTTCTCTTGCATCATTCGCGGGTTCCTTCACCTTTAAGCCATGCGGGGGCGATAAGCCAAATCGTTCCCCTGGTGTATTGCCACTGAGTTCAATTTTTGTGTCGTCTGTGTACATCTATTTATCATCTTCTGTTGTTTTTTCCCACATCTCATGCTGTCTCCGTTATTTTGTTGATGTTATGTTTTTTTTTTTTTCTTTTATAATCGTTGCATATTGTTATGTTATGGATCCTACTTTTCTGCTACTATAGATCTTTCTTTCTTTCTCTCTCTCTCTCTCTCTCTGCTTCTCGTTTCCTCTTCTCTCCTGTTCTCTATTCTCTTTCTCTTTCACTCTTTTCTCTTCGCTTAGCCTTTCATCCCTTCATTTCTCTTTCTCTTTCTCTTTCTCTTTCTCTTTTCTCTCTTCCACCACCTAATCTTACCTGCTACTCTTCTACTTTTCCCTCCCCTGCGCTCGGCATTCCTTCTTAGCTCCTTTCTTCTTCTCTCTCTCTCTCTTCTCTCTCTACTCCCGTGAATGCCTGATGGTCTGTCCCAAAGGTTCAGTCCGATATCCAAGTGTAATTAGTCAAAATAAGCGAATCCTTTTTTTGCTCGCTATATATTTACTATCATTATGACTGCTGCAAAGGAGTTTTTAATTTGTTGCTGTTGGATTTCTCTTTCTCGAAAATAATCTTTTTATTAACAGTATACCGTATTTTAACCATCATAAAACGGGTGATTCAGGATTCGAATAAGATATTATATTTCTGGTGACTTTCTGAGCATGTGAATCAGACATTTGATTGTCTAATATGGATTTCACTCTCGCATATTCTCTATTTTGTTCTCCGAGATCATGTGTTTGCTAAATATACCCCTATTCTAACAGCTATAAAACGGGTAATTCCAGATCAAATTGAGATATACTTTTTCTGCCTGACTCTAGTCTGCAGCATGAATCAGAATTTGATTGTGTAATCTGGATTCACTCTCGCATATTCTATTATGTTCAGTAGTTTAGTAACGAGCGACAGATAAAATCACTCGGGGAAGTAATATATTTCTCTACTCGTAAAGCAATATATTTTTGTTCTCGAGATTCATTGGTTTTCAAATATACGTACTTT